CTGCAGTTGGGCAGCCTCCATCACCCACTCCCCACCAACTGGTGTGGACCCAATCTCTCACCACTCCAGGACCAGCTGGTGACCTGGCCGGGGCTCTTCGCGCAATTAAGGAGGCTGTCGCCGAGCTGGGCTGTTCAGGGCACTTGGACCTTGGAAAACCATCCCAACAGGCTACACCCGTTGGCGCCGGTTTGTTAATTTGGCAAAGGGCTGAGGTCATGAAGTATTTTTCCTTGCCTCAAGCCAAGGCATCAAAAATAGGCTGCAAGTTAGCCCAGTTTGGCCATTTTGGATTGGCCTGACACTCCTTGGGATTGCCCTAAACTTCTGTACAGCCGTCTTGATCAGGGTTCGTGCTTTCTGTTTCATGGCTTTCTCATGGGCGGATCTGAGCTTCGCTAAAGCCACCCCAAACCTAGGGTTCACATGAAGAAATCCAGAGTGGTAACATCCAAACCAATCGTTTGGGGAGGGAGGGAATTTAGAATCGCCCAGAAGAGACTGAAGAACAAGCGCTTTACCAACAGATCTGGGAAACGGGCGGGGATAAGATTGGGAGCTCTTGAGTAGAGCTCCTCCCTTGATCCTGGGCTTCCCCGATTTGTCGATGTAGTGTTCTACAAGCTCAATCTTTTGTTGCTCCGGAATGTAGCGAGGACGGAACTTGTGTAACTGGTCGATGCACTGCTCCGAAGAATACAACCACGTTGGTTTAGCCGACGGTCCGCCATAGTCGCCCATGTTCATCGTGGCCCTTACTGTCTTGACCATGGCTAGGTGTTGTTGGAACGCTGGGTGGCATTCCATCAAACTGTTCTGGGGCTGCTCCAGAATTGTCCAGCAGCCCAAAGTAGCTGCAACCATCAAAACCAAAAGGGTTCTAGCGCAGAGCACATTGCCGAGAGCCTGGGTGGGTTCCAAGCGATCATGCGTTTGCACACCCAGAATTCTTGTTCCAGATTTTACATCCACATGTGCTAGAAAGAGGGCGTCCTTTGTGTATAGTGGGGCTTTCCTTACCATGACCCTTCAGCAAGGAATGACTTGCCTTTGAGGTTCTTAAGTAAAGGCGAGCTTCAACAGATGGATAGTTTTCCTGGCCAAGCGGTCTTGATGCTGAGCGCTTTGTAGAGCCTCTAGACCTGGTATCAAGCTGCGGGAGATCAACCCACTTTGGTTGCAAGAGAGGTTGGGAGCACACACACAAGCAACCTCCGAAAACTCGAAGAAAAACAGGGTGTTGCTTGTGTTTCATTTTAACCACACTTGATGGGCGCCGTTTCGAGAAATAGAAACTAACCAACAAAGAGGACACTAAAGCTTTGGCTATATGTACAGCTGAGGGTCACAAACACATACGTCGAACATACAGGGGCAGCAAGGGAGCCACTGCCAGGGCGCAACCGGTTGCTTGGTACAATGCACTGATAAAGCCTTCTGGGGTCGCTAGATTCATGCTTTCGTTGTATCTGATATCCAAGGCTAAAGATTGCAACCGGCCTTCGCAGGGGAAAAACCATTTGGCAGGACATGAACCTAGGGTTGGGTTGTTCTTCAAACCAGCTCCTGGAGCTCACCGCGAGTCACAGACATATCGCCAGCGAACAGCTCCAGTCGGGACAAACACCAGCTTGTGTACTGGTCGTCTGTTTCGTACACTTGGTAGTACATCTTGCCTAGCATCCTGGGTCCAAGCAAGATCCCTGCCGTGTGGGGCACTGAATTCGGTCTCCGTCACCCCTTCGTCTGATCGGCGAGCTCCTCCACGGGCCAGAATGGGTCCACTCAACATGGGTGCTTCTGTCTGACGGGATCGGGCTCCACTTGGTCCAGGCAACATTGCGGAACTTGCTGTCTTTGGTGTCGATGGACTTGCCGGTTGAGGTGCCGACTTGGGACGAGTTGGACTCGTCGGCATAGGCACCTTGGCCGATTCGCTCATCATCGTCATTTCGTCTTCCCAGCGATGGATCTCTCTTTCCTCGATGTCGACCCATTCTGTCAAACGATGAGTCCCCGAGGTGGATGGGGTTCCTGATGTCTTCAGGTTGTTCGCAATCTCCTGCAACATGGTCTTTTGACACTGGACCTCCTGCATCAGGTGTTGCAGCTGTAAGGCATGTTCGTTCGGCACGAGTTGATCGGCAGTCACTTCCACCTGTGTCTGGACCTGGTTCATGAGCATGGTCAACAAGAGTTTCAGCAATTGCATCACTGCATCTGCCGTCTCTCTGATCATTTCCATGACTTCCTCACGGGTCGGCATGGCTGGTGGGAAACTTCGGCTCCGGCTGATCAACGACTCTTGACACGACACTGGCTGCTGGCTTTTCACTGGATGAAGCAACGAATGTGGCTTTGGTTGGCTTCTGACAAAGATCGGCTAAGCTGATCATCAAAAGACCTGTGGTGCCTTGCTTCAAAGGAATGGCCTTACCTAGCGTTTGCAAAAAACAGGTTCCCTGCTGCAAATCGAGAACGGCTCCGAGTTTTCGCATGGTCTGAATGGATAACAAAAATGGGGCGCTCTTGGGAACCACTTCAATCACCAACCAAGTCTGCTGCGCTCCATTCCTTATGGGGATCCATACTTGCTTAAAACTGTACTCAATCTGGTTGTTCCCGAAACGAAATCCTATGCAGCTTGCCTTTTCCTTGGCGCGGGCTCGAGTGGCGGGGTTCAACAACTGCATCATCTGAGGAAGGTTCTCAGATCCTATGACACTTCGGCTGGCTCCGGTGTCAACTATTGCATAGCCTTGGGTGTTGAAGGCTTCTTGACCAGTCTTACTGGTACAGCTTGGAAACAGGCGGATTTGATCCGTCAGGATCGGGTTCTGGGTGCTCTGCTCTCTCTGCCTGGCAAAATGCACAGACTTTGACCGACTTGCAAAAAACTGCTGCATTTTTATTTTGATATCTCCCTTAGGATCGATTGAATTAAGCTTTTGATGAATTCCTACGAAGGCATGCTCGATGTGGAAACACTTGCTTTCATTGATGAACCCTTCAACTCTTTCATCCATGTGAACCTCTTCGATCTCGGTCAGGCTCAAGGTCTCGAAAACCACCTGATCGGTCTCATCGAAGGCCTCTTGAGTCACGATGTTCACTGAATCCTTGGCCTTGTTGGGACACTCGGCCTTCCAGTGGCCTAGTTCGCCACACTTCTTGCAGTGCGTTCTGGCAATACGCTGAAGTAGTTCATCTTTTCCTTTTGAATTGCCTTTGCGAAAACCTTTTGAACCACTGCTTTGAAATCCAGACTTGAAGCCCTTTCCAGATCCCTTCTGTCCAGCAGGCCAAAACCCACGATTCCGCTTGCGCTCGTTGATCCGGGCACGAGCTTCATGGTAAGAGACCAAAGCTGTATGGAGATCCGGAACTTCTTGCATCAGTTCCTCCAAATCTTTCTCGAAGGTCTGGACTGTGAGGGCATCTGCATCCCCCCATGAAGCCATCGCTTCAATGGTGTCATAGGTCAACTCCTCATCTTCTTCATGACTCATTGCATAGGTCTGGTTGATGTCCTTATTGAACTCTGTCTCATCGGGCTCAACGAAGTTGGTGGGGTAAATCTTTTCAACTGCTCCTGAACCAGTCAAAACGTTCGTAGACAATGACCTCATTGCTCCTTCGATTGCAGTCTTCTCGAGAACCCCGTTGGTCATCGTCAAGACTTTCTTTTTGTCTTCGTGGTTCAAACTGCTTTGTTTGAGAAGGATGAATGCAATGACTGACTTCAGAGTGGTATCCGGCCCCACTTCATCAAATGCCACCATCAACCTGTTCACATAGCTCTGTGTGCATTCGTCCGGCTTCTGAACTACCTTGTAAATTGCGCGATCGAATAGCTCAATCGTTCGAAGCTCGGTGCTCTCTTCCCAGCTTTCGAGGGCAGCTAGGTAGTGCTTTATCCCGTTGGTGGGATCTGTCAACAACTCTGGAGCAAGGGCCCGGACTTGATGCCATGCAGTCCCCTTACAAAGCATTGCCAGCCTGGGCGCCAACATCGGTCTGTCCTTCTTGGGACAAATGCCGTCCAGAAACTTGACCTTGGCCAAATACTCACGAGCATTGTCGGTGCTAGGATCGAACGACGGCAGCAAACTCCAGATACCTGAACTTTTGTCATCTGTCGATGACCCAGAACCCTCCATGGCTTGTTCTGTCCTACAGAAGCCACTTTAGGCTCCGCTACCAATGTGACTTCAGTGAAGTCACAAAGGTAGCACCTAACTTCCTACAAACCTCAAACCAAAACCAAAAAGGTCCCAACAGCGTCCACGCCGTTTCTTCCACCGCCGCCGGAGTCCGCTCGTCCCTTGAGCCAAACATTTTGTTTGGCGTGTTGTCGAATGCTTCGAATGCCATCGGATCGAACTGCTTGCTGGTCACTTCGAAGGGTTCATGGTGAACTTCCATCAAATTCACATGTGTATACATATATATATATGTATATACAAAGATGATATATATATATATATCAGAGTTTTATCGCATGTAGCTATAGAGGCGACTGCAATCAACCGTGTTTAGGCAGGGAGATCCGCTCTTGCTCTGGACCGAGAGTTTGGCGGCGCTGAGTTTGACTTGCTCAGCGATGTGGGCTTCCTCAACGCGCTCTACCACGCCTCCCCCTTGGAGGAGGGAGGGGGCATGATGCTGGCGCCTGTCTGTGGCACCTTTGTCTTTTTGCTCCTCGGTGAAACTGGATTAATGATCGACCTATTTCTTGGCCCCCGCAAGTCAACCATGGATAGCTAAAAAAGCAAGGGTTGGAGGGGACTTGTGGGGGTCAAGCAGTTTTTCTGTCCGAGGAGTCGCGGAAGCACTTTGAGAAGCGCTGCAAAACCACTTGGCAAAGATACTGGTGGTGTTCGCGATGGGACGATCTTGGCGTGTCGAGCATTGATTTTAGCACTCATTGCGACATGCCGCGGTGGTTGGTGGGTGCTCGAACAACCCAGCACTAGCTGCATGGAGTGGCTCCCATGTTTTCAAGCACTCCTCAAACTCACTTCCGTGAGGAAGTACATGACGAGCATGGCCGACTTTGGGGGACCTACAGAGGAGCGAACAATCTTATATTCCAGTGCTTTGATTGAGTTTGGTGTTTCCGGGAAGGGGAGTTCTTAGGCGGCGAGTGAACTCAATCAAGATTGTACCCGTGTTGGTACTTGGAATGGAGCGCATCACAAAGGCTTGAAAATAAGCGTATGGAAATCTTGTTCCCACTGCGCCTCAAGGTAGCGATGCCATCGAGAAGCTCAGCCAATTCCATTCAAGGCGCAACCTCCGCCAACGGGGCATGGTGCGACGCTATGTGGATGGGAGTGGCAAATGGAGAGTGCAGGGAGGGTCCCAATTGAAAGCAAGTCAAGCTTATCCGGCAGGGTTTCTTGCTTTTGCATTCTATCATTGAAACATGTCTCAAACTAACGCTAACATCTTTAGGAACATGTGAAAAGATGCAAACACATACTGATGTGCAATGTTGTGCGCTCATCTCAAACACATACTTTTGCATTCTATCTGAGTAGAACCCTCATCCCAGGTTTGGGCGCGCCCTAGCTTCGTGCAGAACACTGGCCCTCAAAAAGCAGCGGAGATTTGCCCGTAGCTTTCTGAAGAGGGCTCACGAATCGCGTGGATCCTTGATGGATGAGAGGCCCCGAGCCAATGCAAAATGGGTGAAGGGGGCTGATCTCAAGCCCATCATTACATACTTATCCCAGTGCCAGTGATTTCCTGGCCTGAAGCTGTTCTCTAATTCGGGCTTTGCCACATGGGGGATTGCACGCGAAAGCTGCTTTTCAAACTCCCCTTCTAGTGTGTTTGTGGTCGCGCCATTTTCAACATGTCGCTCAGGGGCCAAGGCAAAAACATCTGTATACAGCCGTCGCAGCCTCTCTTCAGTCACATGTACATGAAACAGAGTCTTTAGATGTCCACACCAGCGATCGAGTACACTATTTATAGAGTTCAGCGTCTCAATGAGCTCATGGTGGAATTGGAAACTGGGGTTTGACAGGGGTGCATGTGCGTCTTCCTCATCAAACATGTCTTCCAGGTACTATCCGCTGGGGATCAGGATTCCTTCGATCTATTCGCAGAACACGCAGGACAGTTTATATGGGGGATGTGTGATTGTGGTGTCCAAAGTGTAGGATTGGATACAAAACAGAACAACCAATGTTCTCCAAAGTCATCCCCACAGAACACCCGTTGCTCTAATAAAGAAAAGCCGACACCACTGCGGCCCACCAGGAGAATGCCTCGCCTTACTTTGTCAAGACCACTCCAAGTCGATGGCCCGCCTGGCGCAATTGTGGTGGGCCAGGGAAATTCCATGGGCTGTGAAAAAAATATCAATCATTTTCAAAAAAAAAGCTGCGAAAAGGTTGCGATATTGCTGCGAATAACTGCGAAATGCTGCGAAGAGTATGTTCCAGTGAGTTTTCAACATGTTGCAGTCGTCCTCACAAAAAAACCTGTGAACTCTGGAGTGGATTGGCAGCCGAGCTGTTCCAAAGATTGATGCGATTTGTATTGCGTTCTAAGAGGGCGTTGGAATATTGATGTGAATATTTACTGTAGTAGTGTACCGCCATGCTTATTCGGCATTCCTCGGGCTCTTTGGTACAAGCGCCAGGCTCAGACCGCTCAGGCTGTGTCTACTTCTTGGGCCCTGCTATTCCATTTAGCTTGGCCTGCTATGTCGGTGCCTTTGAAGCGGGTGCGCGAAAAGTCCACTGGAGCGACCAGTAGCCACAAGGTGGCTGTGTCTACAAAGGAAACCAAGAGCCAGAAGGAAAAGGCGAAGCCTACCGAGAAGAAGGAAGTGAAAGAGAAGGAGGTGAAACAGAAGGAGGTGAAGAAGCAGTCTCTTGATGAGAAGCTGAGGCTCGATGTGGAAAGAAGAATGCAAGCAGCAAAGGAAAGAAAGAAGAGGGAGGCTGAGAAGGAAGCCCAGAAGAAGGAGGCCAGGAAGGAGAAGAAGCAGGCCGGGCTTGAAGAGAAGAAACAGAAGGCAATGAAGTTGAAAGAGAGAGAGAACCGGAAGAAGGAGTTGAAGGTAGAGGAAGAGAAGTTGAAGAGGAAGGCAGAAAGGGAAGAAGAATTTGCCAAACAAAAGAAGAGACAGGCAGAAAAGCTAGCCCATTTGGCCGATGAGAAGAAAGAAAAGAAGAAGCAGAAGAGCGAAGAGAAGAACAAGAAGGAGATGGTGGAGGATGGCAATGTGGGATCCAAGAAAAGGAAGTCTGACAAGGTCCCATGGTGTCCTTCCAAGAAAGGCATGATCGAGGGCATCTTCACGCCGAAGACGAAGCGACCAAGGTCATCTTCAGTTTCAGCATTGGGGTCTGAAACTGAGGTGAAAGAGATGACAAAATTGTTGCGCGAGTCAGATGATGAGCAAAGTGAGAGCGAAGCTGAGGAGCTCAGCTTGGCGGAAGAAGATGGTGATGCATCGTCTGATGAAGTTGAGGAGCAGGCTTTGCAGGAAAGTGATGAAGAGGGAAGCGAGGCGCCAGCAGCAGAGTGAAGATGAGGAGGCTTCAGAGAAGGGAGAGGAGGAAGAATCTGATGCCGAGAGTGAAGAGAAGGAAGAAGAAGAGGGCTCAGACTTGGATGGGGAGCCAATGTCTGAGGCTGATGAGGAGGAGGATGAGGAGGAGGGAGAAGATAAGAAAAAGTCGAATGAAAAAGAAAGCAACCCCAAGGCAAAAGCGTTGGTGCAGGCGGTCGAGAGCACGTCGGGGGAAAAGACTGTGCGGAACAGTGCCAGGGCTTCGGTTTAGAAAGCTCTCACTTGTTTTTGTTGGGTGGTACTCTCCTTCTCTAACTTTCCTCAATTCTAGCTGCACTTTAGCGCCACTCAAGGTGTGACAAATAAGTGTGACTGGGACTCCTTTGTCAGATCGAAAGAGCGATTTCGCGTCTATGACTATTTCCAGTCCAACAAACTGGAACTATTCAATTTTTGGTTGGACAGCGGGAAGTCCTGGCAGACATGCCAGTTGCACGTGGAACGCATCCAGTCACAATCCAATGAATCACGGAAGGGCTGGATTGCTATGCAGGGTCGTGACCTGAAGCTCAAATTTGGTGACGATCGGGGTAAAGAGATCATTCAGAAACGAAGGGAGGAGGGTATGTGGTATGAAGATGACCTCTATCCCACAGACGAAAATGAACCTTGTTTGTAGTTCAGAAACCTTTCGTGTGTTTCTGTCGATGCCCTTAAACCTAGTGTGCACTGTATCGAAGTTATTTCTTCATATTTGTTCTGCCATTATGGAAACCAAGCAAAGGAGCAGTGGTTCTACATGCGTTCGGCCCACCAGTTCGAGCAAAAAGACAAAACCACAGATACCATGAAACTTACGGCTACATCCAAAATCGAAGACGAGCTTTTGCATAAGCTGGTTGACCCAGAAGCTGGTATCTTGAAGCCTGGCGCCATGCCAAAGATGCAGACTGCTACCAGTGCCGGGTGCTCCAAGCTGTTGGGCGCAATGTCTACCAACAGCAAGGCCCCAGAGTGCATGCATGCGCGCCTACATACACACACAGACACGCGTTTGTGTCACGCCATATTTCAAAACTTTTTGGAAACCCTTGAACGCGCAACCTGTATGTAGACATATATATTTTCCTGTAGGTTTCACCGGGTTTCACAGGGATTGGGAAACTTTCGCCCAAAGTGGACCAACACATCTTGCGCCACGGCATGCCCGAGCAGGTGACCGCGGCTTCAAAGACGAAGACGCTAAAAGATAAGTCTGAAGAGTTGAAAGCAAGACCCCCCAGGAGAAGATTGAAGCGCGGCTGAAAGACTTCTTGAAAGTGTCTGGTCAAGTCAGGACTGGTGCTATCAGCATTAAAGAGCTTGACTTTGCCCAAGATCTCGCCAAAAAGATGCTGGGCCACGCTAGTTCCATGGAGGCTGTTTACCACGAGGTTGCCAAATTGGCAAAGGTCAAGTCGCCCGAGCGAGCCTTGAAAGAAGGTGAGCCACGCATGGAAGAACTCGAAAAGAAGAGTGCCAAGCTCCAGGCCACCTCAGACCGGCAATCCATCCAATGTCCAGTTCCTTCTTTGGATGTCCATGCAGTCATGTCTTAGCGCACACGGCCATCAACAAACATGCAACTAATCCAAATTCATGGTTTACTCTTGTTTGGAGCCCTGTTCACTCTTTCTGAAGAGATAGTAGATCAGCCTATTGTCAAGCGTTCCATGTCCCCCCATCCAATGCACTTCCAGTTCCCAAGGGAGCCACTCAACCGACAGGCGGCTGCCAATGCATTCCTGCAAAGCACAAAGACAAAGAAAAAGAAGGATCCTGGTGCGAAAGCAAAGGCAAAAGCAAAGGAGTGAGCTCCACCAATTTGGTGTTTTGAGCACGGGTTTTGAGACCACAAGTGTGACCACTTGTGACAGGGGCTTTGCTGACAAGGCTTTACACGTTCTTCAAATGCAATCTATGCAAAAAGTTTGTTGTGGATTCGGGCCTTGTCCAGTTCTAGGCATTCAGTAACCTTAGACATGGTCAATCTGAGTCATTAACCACAGTGACAAGGTTCACAACTTACCTGCGACCTCCGACCAAGAAAGGCGTTTGAACACCAGGGCAGCTATGGACACACTATCTGGTTGGCCTCTCAACGCATCTTAGGACATGCCGTCGGTCATACCCGCCGTGCCAGGTCTGTCCTCTTCAAGGCTTCGATGCATGTTTGAGAGCCTCAAAAACCGGTTTGAGGTGCATAGCAATGCCGATCAAGAGCTTTCAATCATTTTCAATCCAATTTGTTGGAACTTCTAAAGCTGCTTTCAAGCGGCAGTACTCATCATGAGGTTTTCAAATTTACCATTTATGTTTTTTTTGTTGAATGGCTACATGTTGCCAGGAAAAGGCAACGTCTAGAAGAATGTGGACGCGCTGAAACGGTAGAGAAGCTGAAGCGCAAGTCACTCATTGCATGGTTGGGGATGGCTTTCAGAATGAGGCTGTGCGAGCCTTCAGCTCACTAGGTAACCATGGAAAGTATCCAAACAACTATGAACGTGACTTCCATCGTTGGCTCAGCAACCTGTACCAGTTCAAACTCCAGACATACATCGTTCCAATGCGGTTGCAAGTCTATTCTCTTTGATTCAAAAAGCTTTTCTTTTTATGCCAATTGTTCAATTGAATCTTATCTTAAGAGAATTTGGTTCAAAAGGAGCTTCTATTCCAAGTGTTCTTCAACAACAGCCATCTCCTTGGTCTCTCCCTCCCTCCCTCCCTCCCTGCCCCCTTTCCTTCGTGATTCCCAACCGATCGAGGTTGATGGGCTCGATGAGGTCGAGGTCCCTGTGAGGATGCTGCTGCCTCACGAGATTCTAGACTGTCTAGCGAGCTCTCGCGCTGAAGCGGCGTTCAAGTCGATCATGCTGGGAGATCTAGATGATGAATCCCGTGTTCGCTTTTGGAAACATGTCAAACAGCTGCCACCTTGGGCTAGTCACCCTTCACTCAATGTGGAGGAGGAGGATGAATTGAGCAGGCTTATTGGACTCCACTTTCATGCTGACGGGGCTCAATTTTATAGGGAGGACGAGTGTTTCGTTTGGAGTGTGAGCTCCATATTTGGAGGCACAGGTATGATAAAGGATGTGCTCACCTTCAAGTTCCCGTTCTGCATAATCCCAGAACGTCACATGAGATCAAAGAACGCAAAATCAAGCGCAATCTCCTACTTCAACGAGGTACGTGCGGCTGCTTTCAAGAAGGTAGCTGAGGTTGCAGCATGGTCGATGAAATTCGCTGCATCTGGCCAATGGCCTGACAAAGGCTTCCGAGAGGAATCCTTTCCGGCCAAATCGTTCAGGGCAGAGCTCTGTGGGAGGCAGCTAGCTCAGGGGTGGAAGCAACTTGGTATATTGTTGGGGAATCTTTTTGGTGAGATTTTCTTTCGTGTCTCCAACTCAACTCAAACCACCAAAAACATTATTGGAATCTGTTTTGCTTTCACCTCCTACAGAGCAGCTCAGGGGCTGCTACTTTGCTTTCAAAGCTGATTTGAAGGCTCGACATGAAATCAATGGCTTTGATCGCTGGTATCAAAAAGCAGCGAAACTCAGGACTAGTTAGTGCGCCACCTTTTTGCACCCTTAATGACAACGAGTTGTACCAAGCTGTATGCTTTGATACGTAAACCCCAGTGCTGAAAGGTTTCAACTAGAAACCAAGGGTGTGTGAGAGCTGCTTAGCCATGAACAGCGTTCACAGCCCCGATGCCTTGAACTTCCGAAATTTCACCGGCACCGCGGCATGGCCAGAGACGCGATTGAATCATGAACAGTATGTTGCAATGGGTGGCACTATGTCTGACTGGTGTGCCATGCCTGGGTGGAGATTGGAAACCTCTTCTTGGGGCTTCATGCATAACTGTTACCTTGGCATTGGCAGGGATGTTGTGGGTAGTGGTTTGAAGCTATTTATGCGGCAAGGAGTGTACCCACTTGGAGATGGCATTGATGAGATCAAAGCCCTAGCCAAGATTCACAAGGACATGGTCAAAGATTGCCGTGAACACGGGTCCTCTAGCACAGCTTAGAGTATGTGGTTATTCTTGTTTATTCTCACTAGTTCTGGTCATATGAACCTGTCCTTCCTTTTGCACACAGGTCGAACCCAGCTAAGGATTTATGTGCCAAAGAAACCACCCTTGACACTCCCTTCAGATGACTACACTAAGATGGGATCCAAGTTCAAGGCGTGCCACATCAAAATCATGCTGTGGTGGGTTTCGTTTAAGGCTGCTCAAGTCGCTGACCGCACACCTGATGAATCTCGGCGTTCATCTATCAAAGATCTGCCAAAGCTTTGGTGCAGTTGCATTTGTGGTGAGAACTGTGTTCTAACTCCAACTTAGGTGTAGGCTGTGTACGCCTTTTGTCGTATGGTTTCTGTCGTCTACCCAGGACATGGTCACGCAGGTCTTCAGCACTTCAGTTTACAACCTGCAAAGGGCTATCGAGATCATGGACAACTCAGGGTTGATACTGAATGAAACGGATGCAATGGAATGTTCGCAGTGCATCGAACTGCATCTCCAGACCTATGCGTGGTTTGCTGCCTTTTTTTGGGAGGCCAGGGAGACGCTATTCCGCATGCGCCCCAAACACCATTGTGTATACCACCAGGCAGTCCAAATACGGGAGTGGAGACTCAACCAATCTCTCTTCCACACCTGGGATGATGAGAGTTTTCTAGGTAAAATAAAGGCTATATGGCAGAAGTGTCATGGTGCAACTGCATCAAAACGCACGTTCGAGCGTTACCTCCTGTGCCTTGCTCTGAAACTAGAGCAATACCGACGGCTTGCACGTGGACCCTCATGACACCTCAAACCTGTGGTTCAAGCCCTTCAATGAAAACATATTAGAACTATTCTTCAAAACCTGTTCTTGGCCTACGCCTTTCGTAGCGTGCAGAGGGTTCACAGCTGTCACCAGAACCCTTTGAGATCCCTGCGCCGAAAAAGGTGGGGCAACACACTTTGGAGCGGATGAGCCTTTCACTCTGTGTGTGTGCTGTGCGTCTAGGGTGTCATATAGAGTGTCTATGTGTCTATATATAGAGTGTTTAGATTAGAAACGGAAACCCTTGCCCTGCACAAAAAAAGTAAAACTCTGTACGCCCAGAACTAAAACAAACAAACCTTGTGTGTAAGGATTTTTTGGCCCCAAGTGTCTCGTTTGAGCGCTTTGGTTTGCGCGCTTTCGTTTGAGCGCTTTGGTTTGCGCGCTTTCGTCTGAGCGCTTTGGTTTGAACCCGTGTCGTTTGTGGCAAACGTGCTCGTTTATGATCAACCTATACTTAAGGACAATTTTTTACATTTGGACCTAAAGCTGCGCGCAGGCTTTGGTTTTGATAAACCTTTTCATTGGCGCAGCTGTCGTTTGAGCGCTTTGGTTTCGGAACCGCTGTCGTTTGAGCGCTTTGGTGTGCTTTTCCTGTCGTTTGTTGCAAACATTCTCGTTTCAGATTGCCTCTGTCACAATAAAAAAATGACAAGCAGGCCATTCCTCTTAGGTCGGAGGCCATTGCTATTAGGTTGGATCGGAGGCCATTCCTATTTTGGTCGGAGGCCATTGCTATTGGGTTGGATCGGAGGCCATTCCTATTAGGTCGGAGGCCATTGCTATTGGGTTGGATCGGAGGCCATTCCTCTTACGTCGGAGGCCATGCTATATTGGGTTGGATCGGAGGCCAGTCCTATTAGGTCGGAGGCCATTCCAACTCAGGTTGTGAGGGCACATAGACAAGCCTATGTGACTCATGTCCATATAGACGCCCCTTGCTGCCGCTACCAGACCCATCAAGAATTGATCCAGCCTTCCAACGCTGCATCTTTTGTTGTCAAACATGTGCATGGACCAGCGATTCAGGAGATTCCACAACACATGTGGGACAAAACACAAAAGTGCACAGCTCATCACATATGTATATATATATATATTCATATATGTTCGGTGGGGATCACTCGAAAGCTTGTCAGCGGTGCGGGCCACCCGAACGTTTGTAGGCGCATCTTTATTTCTCAAGCGGTTTCCGCCAGCGTAGCCCCATCGCTAGGGCATAATGTTCTAATGCCCGCTTTGAAAACACCATGGGGTGCAGCCCCTTCACGATCAGCTTCACCTGGGACAGCTGATGGGTGAACCTTCCTATTCTCTAAGTGCACCAACAAGAATGAAACATGACCTTTTTCAAAAAATAAGACTTATGCATGCTGGTCACTCTGCCAATCATGTCTTCGTCTAAAAGACATTGGAAATATCGTGGGTTCCCTTTGAAATCCAGGATCCTTGGCGAACATACGGGCTTTGTTGCAAATTTGGCATCCACTCTATGAACTCTAGGCGTGCACAGCTAAGTGTCGTATGCTCGAGCGAGTGAATTTTAGGTCTTACTGGAAAGAGTAGCCTCCTCTCGTGAAGGGACCACAAAGCCAAGCCTAAGCACGGCAACGGCAAAGTTCTGCCCTCCAAAGCACGGTCGCTAGAGAACTTTCAAACAGCAGGTTTTGTTTTTAATGCTTCTACTAAAGCTGCGGCACTGTTGTAGGCATGCCTGTACTTCAAGTATTCCGCTTCTGCTGCACGGAGTTTCTCTTCTGGCATTCTACCAGGCCCAGCCCTGCGTAAATAGCGGTCAATTTGGCCAAAGCAGACGACACCTCTGAGATCCACCTGGTCAGGGCTTAAATTTTTTTTGGTGAATGGGGATGTTTTCAACAGCGTACCTGAAAACGTCACATGGCTGCTTCTGCCAAATGTCTAGGGCCACAGTGGAGACAAAGTGCACCATCATCCGGCTTGCTGCACCGCTCAGTCGCTTCTGACCAATAGCTGGGTACTTGGACGCTGACTTTTGAAGAGTTTGGGTAGTAAACAGTGCAGCCCTGGCCCTGCATCCATTTGGTATTCCTTCGGATGGAAAGGTTACAACGTGTAAAACAAGCAGTCACCCCAAAGAGTTGGACCGTACACAAAATGTTAATTTAGACTGGTCTCGGCTTTCAACGCACCATTGAATGTATGCATGGTACAGCTGGACCAAGCGGTCGTCTCTACTGCGGCCTTTGAACATTGTCGACGCATCAGTCCACACAAGGAATGACGAGGCGTACACATCCACCAGCAACGCTAAATCTAGGATGTGCAGAAGGTCTGGATATATACCTGGGCCCCCCGCTCCATTGAAAATTCACCCTTTAAGTGAGCTTTCACATTCCCCAGGTTTTTGAAAACAGCTACTTAAGACCAAACCAACCGTCCATCGACCAAACATTGCTATACAGGCAAGGGCTCGCCACGGTGTAAACCCCTTGATCTGCGTGAGGGGGGATGCCCCATTGTCGTTGATGAACTCTGCCTTGGTGACTAGCCTTGGAACACCAGTTCAACAACCTCTTACCTTGTTTCTTTTTGACTTTCTTGGGATTGCACTGTGCCATGCATGCGGCGCCATGCATGCAGCGAAGGCGCTGCGATCTGTACGCTGCATCTCGACCCCAATACGTGTACAGGTATGGAGAATCCTCTGGCTCATTTTGGGGGGTGTACGCCACAGCTGCGCATAGATAGCAGCACTGTCTGTGTCTGTAGGATCCTGATTTGGGAAACACTTTGGAGAACACTATTTGGGAAACCCTTTGGAGAACAATAAAGGGAAAACCTTCCTGTGGTTGTTTTTTGCCAGGGATCGGTTCAAGTTGAACATGGCAGCAATAAAATCAGCGTCACCCTGGACGCCATCCAAGACAAAGGTGTACGGGCCCGCCAAACGCGTTCCGGATTTCTTCCAGCGGTCTGGGTAGTAGTCTTGGCTGAAATTCTTCTTCCATGGATCTTCACTTGGATGTACCCCAGATCCTGAGGCCCAAAGAAACAACTGCTGTGCTATTTTGACATGTTCCCCAAACTTTTGGAATGGAGGGTTCACTGCAGTATATCCTAGTTCCAAGACACCCCAACCCAAGAAATCCAGAAAACTTGAGATCCATCCCAAGGTCAAGTGCGTTGAAGCTCCAACTCAGAACTTCTAGGATTTTATAGCGGGCCTCATTGGTGGTCTTGTCAGAGTTGCGGACAGACACAAGGATCCTGCTATCCAGGGTTGAGCTGGACGCTGACAGAACTGGGAGGATAGTCATAATCTCGAAATGCTGTTGCGCATCAGCCCCATCACCGTACACACGTAAGGGCACCACATTATCCTTAGGAATTTGAACCCTCACCTGTTTTGCCGCGTGCGCTAAAAGCATATAAAGACCAACAAAAGTTTGTGGAGTTTGCCAGGGTTCACAGCTAGCTTCCTCCAAAGTCGCAAAGAAGTCCATGTTTTCAGACCAATAACGCTCAAGCCGTCCAGGTACACCCAAAAACAGCATTTGGAAGTTATCTTGGTATTTGTAGACGGTGGATACGATGTCGTGCGGCAACATCATACTCTGTTTGCAAAACCTCTTCCCATGTAGGAGTGATTGGACCTCCGTCATTTGCACCTGATGACGGCCAATGGCCAACAGTTTGACATGTTTGATACCTTACTAAACCAGTTTCTGCTGAAATCACCCCGCAAACAAGTTCTGAATTGTAGATGGGCCAGGCGCTGGTACATCAAACCTGGGATGCTCTTTGGACAGACAGCCATCAGGTTTTTAGCTTTTACAGGGAAGATATCTTCAAGTAGACTTGTTCAGATGAGTTGCTCAAAAAAAGTCAGTGGCAATATTTGCCTCCAGCTCTGACGGATGACCCAGGCATTCAGGGTCTGTTCCAAGTGCCACCCACCACTGCACACGAAGCGCTCACGCAGCTCTAAGATGGGAGTCCTCGAGGGCGCGAATCGTCAATGGAGAAAGGTTGCAAATCACGACCCACTGTAAAATGAAGCCCTCAACAACCCCACACCGTGAAGAAATTAGATTGTTGATTCCAAGAATGTTCGACAGACCCAGACAGAGCACAAAAGCGAAAGGATCCTTATGACGCCCTTCGATGTTTCCTCGCAACCCGTGTTTGTTTGGTTGGCAGAGTGAGACTGATCTGCAAGCGAGTTTCGGAACCGAGGAGTGGTCAAGCCTGCAGATCTTGTCCACGTGCTCCTTGATGGCGGTGCAGCTGGCCTCACATTCAGAAGTCGGGGACTTTACATGTGTGTTCATCTAAAAAGTTTGTGCCAAGATTGCTCGAATTCATCAATAGAAAGCTCGATCACATAAGGAAATAGTGAGTCTGTTGAGTTAAAAGCTTCATGGGAACCGAGTTGCCTTGCCCTGGGACAGTTTGTTGAAGAAGTCGTCGACCAGACCATCGATGATCGTCCGATGCCGCGTAAGGGCCAACCTCCGGAAGGGTCGATGTCAAGTGAGGATTGTTGTATACGCCTCTATCTAGATACAGGCTCCCGTGTTCTATCAAAGGAATTCTCCAGGAACCCTCTATCTAGATACCAAGAAATGCAAAGAGGACACTGCAAAGATGCAAATCACCGAGTGCGCCATTTTCAAGCCTTGCGTACTGTCTTGTTGGATTTCAAAAAGGCTCCCGTGTTCTATCACAGGAACCCTCCAAGTCTAAAGGATAAGCCTAAGCGTGTGAAGTACACACGCATGCCATCCTGCCCCAAAGACACTTCACGTGGTTCTATGAAGTGGTCATGACCCCTGGCCTTCAAAGCCTGAGTTTGAACCCTCCCAATAGAAGGGTTCTTCCTCCCACTCATCCCACTTTTCATTCTCCGGCTCACCCCACTCATCAGAAGGCGGTGAACTCTCCTGCGCAACCTCCTTTGCCTTGGACTTTGACTCCTTGTTTTTGTCTTCCTTCTTCTTGGTCCCTAGGAACAAAAAAATGAATTGCCGAGTGTTGGAAGGCTAGTTTGAGGACACCACGGGATTTCCATGTCTTGATAGCAGAGGCGGAGTTCTCGATGTCGTCCGTGGCCGCCTCAAAACGCGCAGCCGGTTCTGAGGTTGCGCTGGTTACACTGGGCGGTTCTCGGAGAGCCTCCACCTCCGTGCGCTGCTCCTCTTGCACGTTCAGTAGCTGGGCGATCGTTTTGCCCTTGAACGAGAGGTCTTCCATCCTGCTGCCCAGGTTGATGGAGTAGAGCTAGGGTAAGGGGACGATCGATGCATGTTGCAGTTGACCTATGTTACTATGTTCGGTCGGTTGGGGTCCTGTCAGCAAATTCCCGGAGCTGGGTGTTGCGAATCTTCAAGCACGTTGACATGGCCTGGCGCACTTGCTTGAACTCAACGTTGGTAGTCTATTAACATGTGGGAAACAGAAAGGAACATAGCCTCTTGATGTGGAACTTTCAGACCAGTGAGCTCCAGGGCCAAAGATCTGGCCTTCGAAGCTTTCTCACGGAGCCTGACCCCAGGATCCGGCAACTAAATCAAAGGAAATTTGTGTTTTGAACGTTGAACTGATGCAATTGCTTTTGGTTTCAACAAGGCCTTTTGATGTATTTCTGCAATTCTTTGGCTTGCGCATCCTTTGGGTCCTTTACTTTCGGATTCTTTTCTGGAACCTTCTTTTCCTTGGTGTCCTTTATCAAATTGGCGATCTGGGTGTCCATGGATTCACCCAGTGCCTTCTTACCAGCCTCTGAGGCAACCTTGCCTCCCCCGGACACCTTCTTGCCCACCTTGGTGACCTCAGAGCCTGAGCT